AGTATCATTAATATCACACACAACTAAAATTTTGCTGAATATCATTCAGAAGCAGCTGCAGCAGCACATTGACAAGGAACTGCCAGAAATTCAAGCTAGATTCAGAAGAGGACTTGGATAACGAAGGTTATCATTACTGATGTCAGATGGAAACTGGCTGAAAGCAGAGAATACCAGGAAGATGTTTACCTGTGTTTTATTGACTATGCAAAGGCATTTGACTGTGTGGATCATAAGAAATTATGGATAACATTGTGAAGAATGATGTCTTAGGCTGGGTTCTCTAGAGAAGCAAAACCAATAAAGCATATAAGTATATACAGAGACAGATTTATTTCAAAGAAACAGCTTACTCAACTGTAGAGGCTGTAACGTCCGAAGTCTGTGAATGAGGATAGAGGCTTCTCCCAATTAACATAGCCACAGGGGCTAGCACACCCAAGATCGACAGGCCGAAAAGCAGGGCTCTTGCTCACAGGCTGTGAATATCAACAAATCCCAAGATTGGCAGGCAAGACCCCAAGGCTTCTCCTGATTCACATAGCCATAGGGGCTGGCGAACCCAAGATCGGCAGGTTGGAGAGCAGGGTTGGGCTCACAGGGTGTGAAGATCACGAATCCCAAGATTGGCAGATAAGCTGATAGCTCAAGTCTCAGAAACCAGAGGTCAGGCAAACAGGAGGCAGCCACAGGATACAGAGTCGGCAAAAAGCCAGATTGCTTATATTCAGATGCAGCCCACACCCCCAAGGAAACTCCCTTTTAACTGATTGGCCACCCACAGCAGATTCAGTCATGGGAATGATCACATATAAACACTGAGAATCATGGCACAGCCAGTTGACAAACAATCTTAACCATCACAAATGGGAATTCCAGAACTCTTAAGTGTGCTTATGAGGAACCTATACATAGATCAAGAGGCAGTCGTTCAAACAGAGCAAGGGGATACTGCGTGGTTTAAAGTCAGGAAAGGTGTGTGTCATGGTTGTATACTTTATCATACTTATTCAGTCAGTATGCTGAGCAAATAATCTGAGAAGCTGGACTATATGAAGAAGATTGGGGCATCAGGATTGGAAGAAGACTCATTAACAACCTGCATTATGCAGATGACACAACCTTGCTTGCTAAAACTGAAGAGGACTTGAAGCACTTACTGATGAAGATCAAAGACTAAAGCCTTCAGTATGGATTACACCTCAACATAAAGAAAACAGAAATCCTCCCAACTGGACCAATAAGTAACATCATGATTAATGGAGAAAAGATTGAAGTTGTCAAGGATTTCATTTTACTTGGATCCACAGTCAGCACCCATAGAAGCAGCAGTCAGGAAATGAGACGTATTGCATTGGGCAGATCTGCTGCAAAAGACCTCTTTAAGGTGTTAAAAAGCAAAGACATCACCTTGAAGACTAAGGCGCGCCTCACCCAAGCCATGGTGTTTTCAGTCGCCTCATATGCATGCAAAAGCTGGACACAGATAAGGAAGACTGAAGAAGAATTGATACCTTTGAATTATGGTGTTGGCGAAGAATATTGAATATACCATGGACTGCCAAAAGAATGAACAAATCTGTCTTGGAAGAAGTGCAGCCAGAGTGCTCCTTAGAAGTGAGGGTGGTGAGACTTCATCTTACGTACTTTGGGCATTTGATCAGAGGGACCAGTCCCTGGAGAAGGACATCATGCTTGGTAAAGTAGAGGGTCAGCGAAAAAATGGAAAACCCTCAACGAGGTGGATTGACACAGTGGCTGCAACAATGGGCTCAAACATAGCAAAGTTTGTGAGGATGGCACAGGACTCGGCATTGTTTCGTTTTGTTGCACATAGGGTGAACAACAGAATGGCTAAGTGATATACAGGTGGTCTTCGACTCAGATGATGGGGTTCCGTTCAGGTGACTCCATCGTAACTTGGTTCTGATGTAAATCGAAAACCTTATTTTTTTTTTTTTAAATTTTCATTCTTACTGCCTTTTATTATCAGTATCTTTATAAATCTGATCTTTGTTCGTCTTTGGGGGTTGGAAACATTATATATAAACTTACGGATGTATTTTAACAGTGTATGTAGTAAATATTTCTAACAATAAGACGTACCAAAAAAAAAGTCGTAAGTATGGTTCATGGTAACTCGAATACATCGTAAATCGGGGACTACCTGTATCCAGCTGCCTACTTGATATCTTCATTTGGATTTCTGTAAGGTGTCTCAGACCTAACATGTTCAAAAGTAAACTTTTGCTTCTCTGTCTGCTACCAACTTGCTTCTCCCAGTGTTTCCCCATCTCAATAAGAGACAGTGTCAATTCCAATTCCGTCCTTTTAGTTTTTCATGTGAAAACATTGGAATGATCCATTTTGTTTTGTTTTTTTTCTCACACCCCTCCATGCAATGTGTCAGCAAATCCTTTTCCCTCTATTTTCATGAAAATTAGACCATTATGGTCTAAGCCATCTTCAACTCTTACGTGATTATTACCTCCTAACCTGTCTCCCTATTTCCCCAGCTGTCCAACAGTCTGTTCTCCGCAAAACAGCCAGAGTAATCCTTTTAAAATCAGAAGTGTTTTTTGTTTAAAAAAATGTAGTTTTAAGTTTCAGGAACAGTAAATTCTTTTAGTGATACAAGAGATGATTAAGAGAAATATTTTGTAGTTAAAATTCCTAAAAAGTTTTAAACCGAAATTTTTTATTGCATGTTTAAATGAGTTTCTGAAGGATAAACCCAGCATAGTTGGGTGTATAATCAATACTGGAAAACATTTGTTTTCTAGTTTTGATCTCTTTCTTTTTCCTCTATAGATAATTAGATGGGATTAAGTCGCCATGAGTTGGAATCAACTCAGTGGCAACTGGTTATTGGTATCACTTGTTGGATTGCTTTTGCTTTCGCTGTCATCTGCTGGGGTTTTTTGTTTTGTTTTCCCTGTTTCTACACTCATATTTTATAAACAGCTATTTAAGGAGTAATGAGTAGTAGGTTTGACGATGACTGCCAACTCCATTAGTTTACAGTTGCTGCCTGGAGCATTATATGAATAAAGATTCTGACACTTAGCAGATGCTGTGATCAATTAGCAGTGTTGATTCAGAGGCAATGAGTTTTTTTTTCTTTTTGGTTTTTGTATGGGTGAGGGGACAAGGAGTAGTGTATTTGCCATCGCTAAATTACTGTTTATAGTATTGGCAGATCTTAGATGTTAATTTGCTTATGGCAATTGTTGCTTCAATTTTTAGTGCTCCTTTAATTTTTTTTGACAAAGTACATTTAAAGAACCAATAATTTAATCTAAAGACTTAGCATTAAGGGCAAATATTTAAAAAAAAAAATTTTTTTTTAATTGTACTTTAGGTGAAAGTTTACAGCGCAAGTTAGTTTCTTATTGTTATGTGACCCTAGTTGCTATCCCTGTAATGTGACAGCACACTCCTTCTCTCCACCCTGGATTTCCTGTGTCCATTCAGCCAGCCCCTGTCCTTTTCTGCCTTCTCATCTCACCTCTGAACAGGAGCTGCCCATTTAGTCTGGTGCATCTACTTGAACTAAGAAGCACACTCTTCACCAGAATCATTTTATGTCTTACAGTCCAGTCTAATCTTTGTCTGAAGAGTTGGCTTCGGGAATGGTTTTAGTGCTGGGTTAACAGAGAGTCTGGGGGCCATCTCTTCTGGGGTTCCTCCAGTCTCAGTCAGACCATGAAGTCTGGTCTTCTTACTAGAATTTGAGTTCTGCAGCCCACTTTTCTCCTGCTCTGTCAGAGACT